AAATTCTATTTCCCGAAGAACGTATTCAACCTCAAACTATATTACTTGGGATACCCACATTTCAACACATACGTAGACAAGGATGTTCACGACCTGATGTTGCGAATACAATTTCACTACATACACACATTAGTTGAAAAAGGTACACTATAAAGTGCAATCTCGGTTAACGAATTTAATCCGGTCCAGCACCGAGTTCATCGTGTGAAACGCTCGTGTTGCGAAACTTTACCAATCAAATTGCATCAGTTCACTGATTGGCTGCAGGCAACCAAGGAGACGTACCCTGGGTGCAGGACTCAAAGGTGGACGCAGGCACATAAACACGCGCGCTGACAACTCGTTAACTGAGTGGAAGCTCGTCAATCGAAACAAATCGTCTGCTTGTAGCTCGCTTGTTACCTCAGATGTTCGTAGATGAGGCTGCTCGTCACCCAAGACCGTAATGTACAAAATTAGTCATACAATTTCACTAGCACGGTTAGAGTAGGTTGTGGCCACAAAAAATTCATTTGTGTGAAGAGGACGAACAACAAATGCTAGTTTGCCTGTCACTATTTACGATGACAACCTCATGAAAGCAAATGACGAAAATAGCCTATGGATTTCGGTGAGAGAAACCTACTCAGCATTGACATACTTTTCCATAGTCCCCAATCTACATATTTCACTAGTAATTAACTGTCAAAGTGTGGCACTTTCGTTGAAACCGTACCTCATTCAATGTGACATAAAGGCTTACTGTATCAATCGACTTCAGCGATCCCCTCCTGCCATTTCTGCCTTAATATACTTCAAACGCAATGTAAGTGATGATGTTTCAATCCTTTCACTTGGTTTTGAAAAATGCTCAATGTTCATGCCCCAAAGAGGCATCTGTTCAAAACTAAAGCCTCAGTTTCGCATTGAGCGGAATGCCACAACAATTCCTAAGGGTAGATTGTAACTATTTGAACTTCCGACTGGTCTTTCACGTATAGGTGTTATCAAAAATTTTCTTAATGTTTGAGATGGGGGTAACCGTAGCTTCAGTAGCCCCACTTTCGAAAGACACACTAAAATAACTACTATAGTCGTGCCAGTAGGCGTATTTACGTCTACTCATTTAAATCGACCGTCTCTATTCATCGTCTATCCAGCCCCACTTATCTCGCTTATAAAGAAGCAACTGTCCCACTTGCTATTAAAAACATACCTTAGGTGTA